GAAATTCTTCCTGGCATGAGGCATTCTGGGTCTTGGAGGCCCCCAGTGGCTCCCCTCGTTTTGTGTAGTTGCACGTGTGTTTGTGGGCACACCACACCCCGCTCAATCCTAGAGGGGCCTCCCCACCCAAGCGGAACCTGAGCAGAGTGGCCCAGACGCCTGGTCTCGGGGCTGCCTTCTCTGAAGGGGCGGAAGCCCAGAGCAGACATCTGCCATGGGAGGTAGAACTCCGGGCTTCTGGGCTGCAGGTTTTGAGGCTCAGATGTTCCCAGGTGTGTCCCGCAGCTGCTCTGCCCTCAGATTCTCTGAATGGAGGGAGCCCAGGCTCCATCTGCTGCCCAGTGGTTCCCTCCAGCTTCTCCCATGACCCCCTGCCTGTCTTGGAGCTGTCCTCTTGGTGGCTTTCCACAGCCAGAGACTCTGAGCTTTGTGCTTCTTGGGGTTCCTGGGGTCCCCCTGGGGTGGCTGCTCACCTCCCACTCACCCACCACCCAGCACAGTACTGAGTGCAAGGTAGGTGCCCAGAGGGTGTCTGGCAGCGAGATCAACCAGGAGGCCCGTGCGGCCTGGCTGGGCTTGTGCACGCCTCGTCTGTGCTGTCCCCAACCCCTGCCTTTTTGACTCCTCCACCCCGGGTGAGCCCCCCATCCCATCCCCACCAGAGTTGTCTCCGGAAAGCCTTGCCTTCTCACCTTTCCCTGTTCACTGGGTGAGAGGCAGTCGGGAAGCTGTCTCTGTTGTGCCCGCTAGAGACTCAGGTCACTTCTGGTCTCTCCAGGCAGCCAGGACCTTTTACTGGGCTTCTCTCCGATCCCCACAATACCTCCCCAAGTTGCTCTGGAACTCTCCAGCCTACCTCTGTCATGGCGCTCCCAGGGTCCCCTGCTCCATCTCTCTACTTTGGGGCACAGAGCTTGGAGAACCGGTGGAGCAGAGTACTCCATAGGGCCTTCGAGGATATCCTTAGCTACCCACTGGCCCAGGCCCTCCCAGTGAGACCTGCCCTCTCTCAGCAGGAGCACTGGGGCTCTTGGCACTGTGTCGCCTGTCTGTTCCTGGTATCCTCAGACCGCGAGCTCTTATGTGTGCCTGGGTGCACGTGTGCATACATGCCCCCCACCCATGGGACCCTCCTCCCTGGTTAGTATTCCTGTGTCCCACCCACACCCCCTACCCCTCCGTTACAGCACACACTGCAGTGCCTGGAACTCTCTGTGGCCGTGTAGATGTGGGAATGCTCCCCTGGGAGCAGCCCTCAACCTGTGGCTGATGGGAGGGGGTGGATAAACACCCCAGCTCCCTTGTCCCCTCAGCTGGGATGAAGAAGGGCTTCCCCAGCAGAAGGGAGCTCCAGGCGCCCACAACAGTGCTGGAGTGTCAGTCCTGTCCCAGAGGTCACTCAGGGCTGCAAGCTCTGCCCGAGTTGGGGGCACTGAAGCGGGCAGCCCAGGGGAATGTGCCACCCACCTCAGAGCAGCACTGGCAGGGGCTGGGGCATACCTGGCTCTTGCTCACAGGCCACTGTGTCTCCCTTCAGCCCCCACCTTTCCCCTGCCTTCCTTGCCTGGCTTCACTCCCTGTCACCTTCCCTGTACTCCCCTTCCCTCAAGTTCACACAAGAAAGATCAGGGTCTCAGGGATGGCCTCTTGCGGGGAGCAAGTGGAGACAGCTACGGTCATGTCCTGTCCAGCGCCCAGCTTCCTAACTCCACTTCCCGCTTCTCAGCTCAGCTCCTGCCTGGGGCTGGGACACACTCGTGTCCTTTGTTCCAGCTGTTCCTTCCCCTCAGCCATGCTGTCCCTCCTCTGCATCCCTAACCTTGGTCCTACTCTCCCTCCAATCACCTCCTCACAGTGAGCTGTCCCTAACTAAGGGGGCCCTGGCCAGAGCCACCTGCTCCTCAAGAGCTCCCTCCTGCCCTCACCCTTCTCCCAGCCTTCAGGGGCTCTCCTGGCACCCATCCTTGCTGGGGTTAGAGGGGGCAGGTTTCCCAGCAACACACCAGCCCCTGGAATCTGGGAAATGGCCCCACTTCTGTGACACACCCTCTCCATCCAGCTCCCTGTGGAGTCCAGGCTTCACAAATGCTGGTTGAAAAGATAAATATTATTTATACCAGCCACCCACCTCACAGCTGACACCCTCATCTTCTAGTGTCCCCCAAACCCTGCTCTGGCTGTCCAGTCCCTCCAGACATGGGCAGCTCAGTGGGGCTGGGCTGGTCACACCTGGAGTATAAGCAGCACGCTGTCCCAAGAGCCACTTGGGCAAGGGCCTTCTCCTCGCTTGCTTAGCTAGTGGTCCTGCCCCAGAGGCCATCCGGGGCCACAAGCTCTGGCACAGATGCCGGGGCTCAGACGTGCCTGGCTCTTGCTCACAGGCCACTCTGACCCCTTCAGCCCCCATCTTCTCACAAAAGAGGAAACCCGGGGGCAGGAGGTGATGGTTGTGGGGTGAGGACGATGTAAGGGGAAGCTGGCCTGGCCTGCAGGGTAGTTAATGTTCAGGGTGAAGGCAGCAAGGCAGGGCATTGCTGGTGGCAGTGCCACAGTGCCAGTGAGGTTCTGGAGGCCTGGAGGGTGACTCTAGTGCTGCGGCCCCATGTCTGATGATGACACCTGACTTCTGTCTCCAGGACTCCTGAGCAAGGGCCCTTGGTTCCCAGTGGTGTCAGAAGGCATCGCCGAGGTTCAGAGGCATCATCATGGTGAGTCAGAGGCTGTCACGAGTTGCCCATGAGGCCCTGGGGCAGCGAACAGCCTCCCCACAGATGCCGAGGTCAGCCCCAGGCCCCAGTAGGCTGGCCTTCTTGTGCTCTGGGAGAAGACAGCCTTGGAGGGACATGTGTGCTGCTGTGGGTGTCCAGCGCCACGTGTCAATTCATTCCCATGTCCCTTCTCCAGGGAGGATCGGGCAGGGAAGCCAGAGGCCCTGGGCCTGGCCCAGTCCTGTAGATGACTTTCCACTCATGAGCTAGAGGTACTGCACAGCTGCAGGGGAGAGTGGAACCCCCAGGCTGTCAGTGCCAGCTACTCCTGGGGGAGTGGGCATGAGATTTAACAGGTCGCCTCCACAGACAGGGTGGTCCAGGAGCCTGGCCGTCATGCTCCCAGCCACAGCTCTTGGGGGGCTGCTCTGCGGCCTGCCAGCTCAGACTGCCGTGGACTGCTTGATGCTGTGAAAGCTGACACGGGTGGGGGAGGTGGGGATGGACATGGCTCGGGCTACCCGGGCGCGGATTGAGTGCTTGTCCTGCCACCGGTGCCACCTCTTCCGGATGGCAGAGCGGACCTGCAGGCACAGGGAAGAACACAACATTAGCCTGGGGCTCAGGACCCCCTCCCTCCTCTGGGCTGCCACAGGCAGCTGTGCAGGTGAGCTGAGCACACGGAGGTAGCAACACTCACACCCTTAACACGGCTGCTTTGCACGTTTGTCAGAACAGGTTTCTAAAGTGCACTGGGGAAGGGACATCCTTTTCCAACTTACACGACGGCACCGTATGCCCTTTGCCCTGAAAGCTCCCTACCCTCAACCCACACGCATCCCCTGCCCAGGGCTCCTCCTTTCCTGGTTCTCACAGGCTCATCAAGGAGACTGGAGCCCTGGCTTCTGGCCTGGTGCCAGCTGCCTCTGAGAGCAAAGAAGGGGCTGTCTTGTGGGAGTGGACAGGTGGAGGGGGGATCGGCCTGGGGCTCCCAGCAGCATCACCCTAGGAGGAGCAGGGAAGAGAGAGCCAGCCCTGGAAGGGGAGGAGAAGGCTCTAGATAATCTCTGGCCCCAACAGGCTTTGCCACCCTGAGCCCCGAGGCAGGTCCCGTGGTCCTCACCTCACTGTTGAGGAAACAGTAGAACACAGACACGAAGAAGCCCTGGGGAGGAGAGAGGAGGCGTCAAACCTGGCTGCAGGTGTCGCCCACCCAGCCTCTAGGCTACCCCTTGCTTCTCCCTGGCCTCCTGCCCTCCAGGCCTCTGCTTGGGAGAATCCCCACCCAAGGAGGCACCAATGTGGCCCTCCAGGGCTGTACCTGGAAGGACTCCAGGAATGAGTTGAAGTAGATGAAGACGACCCGGGATACCTCATCCTCCCCGGGATTGACGAAGAACAGCATGTAAGTGATGCCCAGGAGGGGCAGCAGCACCAGAGTGGCCTTCACAGCCTTCCTGGGGTGGGGCAGGTGGGGAGGCTCAGAGTCACAGCCCACCCCAGGACAGAGCCGGGTCGGGGGAGGGAGTGGCAAGTCTCTGGCATGTGAGAGGCATGGGGAGCAGGGTTTTATCAGGAAGGACTGCCAGGCCTGTGGGAGGCGGTACCCAGTTACCTGTACTGAATGGTCTCAGATGTGGTGGACGCCCGGAGCTTGGTCATGAGGATGCGGACGATGTTGAAAAGGAATATGAAATTGATCTGCAATTTGAGCACACCAGCAGGCCGGAGTGTGCAAGAGGCTGGAATGCAGCCTTCTCAACTCTTGCCTCAGTGCTCCTACTGTTCTCCCTCCTCCTCAAGAGGGAGCTCAAGAGCACCTGCACATCCCTGGCCCATGCCCCCTGTTTGTGTGGCCCCCACCTCTAGGCAGAGGGGTCTTTTTGGTTCACAGCACTGATTGCCCCTCTCCACTGGGCTCTGTTTCCCACCCCTACCCAGGTTCTTACCAGCAGGACCAAGATCATGGGGCCCTGGTAGATGTAGTTGGTGTACACCCCAGGCCTTTTGCCAAACCAGCACCTAGAAGGCCACAGAGGAAAAGGGAGGAGGGGTCATTTGCGTCCACCTCAGTGGCATGGGGAGGCACATAGCTTGGCCAGGACAGGACTGGGGCTGGAGGCCAGGAGATAGACGCCCCAATTCCAACCCTGGGAGAAGGTCAAGTCACTTGATTCCACTGCTGTGCCTCAGTTGTCCCATCTGCAGAATGGACAGCATCCTCTGCAATGACATGCAAAGTTGGAAGCAAGCACTGGGGCAGAAGGGGGACAGTGGGAAAGACTGAGTGGCCGGAATGGTTATCGGCCCAACACAGCCTGCGTCTTCAGCTCCCCCTCACAGTCCCCTAGTTGTGGCTGAGGCCCAGCATGGCCTCTGGGGGGCTGCTGGTGGGAGTGGCACCACACCCGTCACCCAGTGGGCACCCAGCAGTTCACAATCTCGGCCTGAATCTGTCTAATCGCGGACTAAACGACCTTGAGAGGATCACGTGCACAGGTCCCACCTGCTGCAGGAGGTAATCGCTTTGCTTTTTCCCGAGCGTCCCTCCAGCAAGTTCCAGGGAGGCCTGGGGACCAGACAAACTGGAAGCCCGTAAGTCCTCATGGGTAGGAACCCCCAGTGGCTAGATCTCATAAGCCAGAAATTGAGATATGTATATAAAACCTTGGGACTTTTTAAAGATTGGCTACAAAATGAAGTTTTCAGAAAACACCATGCCAGCCAAACACAACTTCTGAGGGCCAGTCCAGTCCTTGGACCTCTGGCCGGCAAGGTTTTTCTGCTTTCTCACACCCAGATCCTCTCTGTTGCAGTGTTGAATTCTCACCACCAGGTGGGGCTTCAGAGCCGCTCAGACCCCCTTTCTCCTTTAGCTCAAACAGTTTTTGTTTTGCTTTGTTTTTTGAGATTTGTGCAGTCTCACTCTGTTGCCCAAGCTGGAGTGTAGTGGTGCAGTCTCAGCTCACTGCAACCTCTGCCTCCTGAGTTCAAGAGATTCTCCTGCCTCAGCCTCCTGAGTAGCTGGGACTAAAGGCATGCAACAGCATACCCTGCTAATTTGTGTATTTTTTTAAGTAGATGTGGGTTTCACCATGTTGGCCAGGCAGGTCTGGAACTCCTGACCTCAAGTGATCTGGCCACTTGGCCTCCAAAACTGTTGGGATTATAGGCGTGAACCACCTTACCCGGCCCCAAGCATTTTTTGAAACCAGTTTCCCCACCACCTCCTGTACTCACACGCACACATCTGCAGGCACCACCACTCAGGATTTACAGTGCTCCTGCTCTGGGACCCAGGCCTCCCATCCAGGCTGGGCCCCCACCTTTCTGGCTGTGCAAATGCAGTGAGAGCCAGCCGGGCCTGAGTCAGGAGGGAGTCACCCTCAAAAGGATGCAAGATAATGTTCCAGGCTCCTCATCCAGCCCAGTGAAGCTGTGCAGGCCCCGTTCCCTCCATGGGGGAGGAGAGGGCTTGTCACTGTGATGGAGGGCACTTGGACTCCAGGTCAGACAGGTTCCTGGGAACACTTTGTTTGGCAAAGAACATCCTGGGGCTCCACTGCCATCCATGTCCACCTTTTCTGCCCCCCTCTCTCAGTGGTTTTCAATTTTAGCTGCACATTAGAATCACCTGGGCAGTTTTAACGAACTCTGGGTGCCAGGCCACACCCCAGACCAATTACACCCAACTCTCTGGGGGCGGAACGTGGGCACTGGTACTTTTTGAAGCATCCCAGGCGATTTTAATGTGAGCAAGATTGAGAACCATTGCAGCAGAAATCAGCTTTTCAGGCACGATTGAAAACAGCTGAGTCTGTTTCATAAGGAACCAAAGAACTTCAGAGCTGGAAGGAGCCTCTGAGATCATGTGGGTCCATTTCTATTAAATTCGCAGCATCTTTTATTAAGACATCTTAATATAAATATAACACGTTTATACAGCATTTGCTCTATGTGCCAGGAACTATTCTAAATGCTTAATACAGATTAACTCATCACCCCACAATAGCCCTTTGAGGCAATAGCACATCCATTTTACAGATGAGGAAACTGAGGCACACTGCAGCAATCAGTGCAAGGTCACACAGCTATTTAATGATGGAACCATGATTCTGAACCTGGGCAGTCTGGCTCCAGGCTGCTTCCTGCGAAGCAGACAGAGGAGGCTGGGTCCTGCTTGTCCAGCCCCACCTAGGCAGAGCACAGGCAGGGACCCTCCGATTGAGTCCAGCCCCCAAATCCCTCCCTTTATAGATGCAGAAAACCATGGTCCTGACAGGAAAGGCGGCATGGCCCAAGGCCCTTGGAGACTGTCACCAAGCTGGGCTGGGAGCCTAAACCTTGGGGTCAGGGAGTGAAAGGAGGTGACTTACTTCTCATTGTTGTAGTACAGCTTCCCAATGGCCCAGGCCACAATGATGGGGAAGGGCACACCTGGGGGAGAGATGGGCTGTCACAGAGCCCTCATCGGGGGCTGAGAGGCGCAGGCCTGGAGAACCCCAGTGCAGCCCAGGCTCCAGGGGCCCTGGGGCTACCCGGGGTGGATCTCAAACTCACAGGCCTCCTTCAAGGTGCTCCTACTGCCCACCACCCCCAAGAGGAGCAGAGGGCTATGATGCGTACCCCATTGCCCCAACAAGGCCTCTATCCCTCAAGCCCCCCACCCCGCTGGCCTGAGTCTGGGCGAGGGAGGGCAGCCCGGTGGCCACCACTGCCCAAGCCTCCGGGGGGTGGGGTACTGCGCAGCTCACCCCAGCCGATGCAGATGAACACCCACTTTCGCAGCCACTCGGTGGAGTAGGTGAGCACGACGGCTGTGTGCAGGTAGCAGCCCTCACCAAACATCCAGAAGAAGTTGGTCACGTGGAAGTAGTTGTAGGCAGCTGTGACCAACCTACACCAGGCCTGCCACCCCACCCCCAACTGGAGATGATGATGGGGGCAGGGGCGGCACCAAGCCCTGGGCCTGGGCCTCCCCTGGGCAGGACGGGGCACACCCTGGGGTCCTACTCCTGTTCTGTGGGCCCCTCCTCTGCAGGGCAGGCCCACCTCTGACCTGGGCTTGGCCCAGCCTGCTCCCCACGTCCCCGCCGGGACATACCACGTTGCTCTGCTGGACCTCAGGGCTCATGGTGAGCTGGACCACGAACCAGGTGGCATTGCGCAGGATGAAGGCGGAGATGAGGTTCCAGTGGATGATGTTTCTCAGGCACCGGATGCTCCTGGCACAGCAGGACGGGCAGGTGACGGAGTGACAGGAGAGAGGATGAGGGGCAGGCTGTCCGCAAAGCCCCCACCCAGAAGTGTACATGAGGAAACTGAGGCATGGGGTGAGGCCAACTAGCCAAGTAACACAGGGAGGTGGCAGCAAGGCTCTCCTGATGCCCCATGGAGCCCTTCCTGCTTGCAGCCCACCCAGATATAAGCCCCACGCAGAGCCTGGCAATGCAGCCTGTGCTCCATTGACCGGGGCAGCTGGCTTCCTGGGGATGCCTGCTTCCCCTGGTGGTGCCTTCCACTCCCTGCCATTCCAGGATGGACAGTCACAGGGGTTAGCCCTGCTCCCAGCCTCCAGCCCTGATGCTCGGCTCCCGATCCCACCTGTCCCCATCCCTAGCTCTGCCACCTGCATCCTTGGCAGTAGCGCTGGGGCCCAGGCACCTTTGAACCTGAAAAGGGGGCACCACTCCATGAAGCCTCCACCTCTAGGGCTCCATCAGCCTGGTCACCCCAGTGGGAGCAGCCCAGCCTGGGTGTGGGTGACACAAGACAAACTTTGTCCCTCCCCACCATTCTAGCAGCTACTGGGGAGGGGGAAGAGCGGCTCTGCCAGACGTTCCCAGAGACCTGAGCCTCCTGGATAAGCCAGCCCCTGCACCCCCTCCCAGCAACCCCACCCCAACCCAGAGCTGCTCCTGTCTCTCACTTCTCCACCCTGCCCCTGCTCTAGGGCCTGGGGACAGGAGGAGGCACGGCTGGGGTCTTCTCACCTGAGCCGCAGAAAGAGGACAAAGGCCACCAGGAGGGCCACCAGGGAGATACAGTGGCCCAGGTAGTTGATGATGACTGCAACATGGTAGTGCACCTTGCTCTTTTTCTGCAGCAGGAGAGAGGGGCAGAGGTGAGGCTTCTGCACAGCTCAGCCCTTGTGCCCACTGGATGTGAGCCACTGTGTGAGGACATCGCCTGGGGGTGGCTGGGATGGAGCGGGTCATGATCTCAAGGGCCACCCCCCACTTCCCGAGCACCTGCTGCTGGTCAGGCTTCACATCAGAGCAAAGCCATCCAGTTTGACATCTGTCTGTCCCTGAATCCCGTGCTCTGTTCACTACCGCGTGTTGTGTCGAACTGAACCTCCACATCACGCAGGATTCCCTACTCCACACAGACTCCCCTCCACGTGCACGAGTGCGTGTGGCCGGCTCACAGTGGCGCCCTCACACCCGCATCTGCCCATGCTTCTGCCTGATTGGAACATCAGGTGGACCTCTCAGCTGCAGACACGTCATTCCGGGATTTCTCTTCTCCACCCATTTCTGAACCGAGTCACCATCTTCTTGGCGCCCCTAAAACCCTCCTGCTGCTACACAGCCTGCTCCTGCGAGCCACAAGGGGAAATCAGCAGAAACCACAGAAAAGTATCTTTAGGCTCCATTACTCACTTCCCAGGGCCTTCCCCATCCCTGGCCCAGCGGGATCTGTGCAGAGTGAGCCGGATCCTCTCCCGGGTCTGGAACACATTCCTCGGTTTATTTCTCAATGAATTAAATATACCGGTGGAGGTCACTGCCCTCCTCTTTCCAGCAATCTTAAGTTCCAAAAGTGATGAAGCCTTCCCACTTAACAGAGGATTTTCACATCTGTTATCGTCTTAAACTGCCAGGGCAACCCCGTTGGGAGCGGGAAGGGCGTCTGGGCTTTATTTTGTGGGTGAACAGCACAGAGGTTATGCAGATGCACTGGAGGCCAAGCAACATCAAAATCACCTCCTGCCTGCATGTGCCAACTGGCAAGATGCGAAGGCTGAAACAGGTCCCCGGCCCATCACATGGGACTGGCCAGTCCCCATGCCCAGCTCCCTGCAGACCCCTGCCCAAGAGCAAAGCCCTCACCCACACTCTTACAGGTCCCAAGAAGCAAGCAGGGCCTGGAAACTCAGAGCTTGACACGCAGTAGACCTCCAACGCAGTGTGTGAGTGAAGGAAGGAGGGACGGGTGTTGGAAAGCAGGTGGCTTTGAGAAGGGAGGGGTCCCTGGCAGCACCTCCCTTCCTCCCCATTTCCGGGCTCTGGGGTGGGGCTGACAGATGACGAGGCACAGAAATGGGTAACGTGCAAGTGCCGAGAAGCGGTGAGCTCACAACGGCCCTCATCATCCTATCAGAGCCACAAGGAGCTCCTGGCCCTTCACGGGCCTTCCTGTCAGAATTAGAGAACCCACGAAACCAGAGACCAAGTCCAGCCCTATCTACCAGGCATCCCAGGAGGAGCCAAGGCCCTTCTGAAGGGGCATCTTCACTGGGGGACCTCTCAGCTCCAGAGGCTCCTATAGAAACTGTTCTTCGAGCTGGTTTCCAGGCAGGCTTGCTGGAACATGGCAGGAAATCACATTAGCAACTCCAGCCTCCAAAGAGCTGGGATCCAGGGAGGTGTGAACGAAGGCAGGAGAGAGAGAGACAGAGAGGGGAAGCGAGGGGAGGGTACCCATCACCCACCCATGTAAGGGGGGACGATCGCTAAGCGCCTGGTGGCAGAGGCCCCAATCCAGAGGCTCTGGAATATATGCACATATCACAGGCTGTCTGGAGCTGGTATTTAATATCCTTTTATTAAATTTCCCACAAATCCATGCTGAGAAGCCCCTGGGTAATGACAGCATGTGTGGAGCCGAGCATGGCACGACACCCCTGCCTTGTTCACAGGCCCAGGCTGGGTGGGACCAGCACAGCATGCAGGGAGACCCTTCACTGTCCCTTGCCAGGGCCTGGCCTTGCCCCTGAGTCAGGCCACGCCAGGCCCTTGGGGATGGAGTGGGGAGGAGTCATCTATTAAGCACCTGCTGTATGCTGAGCCCTGTGCCAGGAGCTCAGCAGACACCAATGCTTTTCTTTCCCACAGCTGCCCTTGGAGACTGACCCTCTCATCCCGTTCTTCCCTTGGAAGAGGCTGAATACTTGGCCACGCCATGTATCTAGAACCTGGGTCTGCCTGGCATTGAAATCCCTCTTTTCCCTGTTTCCCTGGGACATTTCTTTTTTTTTGGGGGGGGGGGGATGGAGTCTTGTTCTGTCACCCAGGCTGGAGTGGTGGGATCTTGGCTCACTGCAGCCTCTGCCTCCTCAGTTCAAGTGATTCTCCTGCCTCAGCCTCCCTAGTAGCTGGGATCACACGCATGCGCCACCACGCCTGGCTTAATTTTTGTATTTTTGGTAGAGATGGGGTTTCATCATGTTGCCCAGGCTGGTCTCACACTCCTGAGCTCAGGCAATCTGCCTGCCTCTGTCTCCCAAAGTGTGGGGATTACAGGTGTGCGCCACTGCACCCAGCCCCCTGGGACATTTCTTGAGGGACAAGCAGGAATTGAAAGCAGAGGCACTCTCTGGGGTGGTCTTGCTCCATTCAGGGCCCAGGAGCCTCAGGGGACCTCCTGTCGGGAGGACGGCACCCACGAGGGCTTCTCTCCACAGAGCCTGAGAGGGAGAATCGGCCAAACCACTCCTGGGGGATAAAGACTCTGTGGGACTCCCTGGGCCGGGTTCAAGCCCTGTCTCTCATTGGCCACATCAGCATGACACGACCTGAGAAGCAGCCTGAGAAGACAGCTGGAGAGACAGCCTGATAGATGGCTGCCAATACCCTGAGACATACATCCTGTGACACCCAGACAGAAGCCAGTGACACTGAGAAATCTCCAGTAACAACCAGAGCTCTGGCCAGCATTATCTAAAGAGACAGCAAGGCCTTGAGAGACTCCCAGGAACACCCTGAGAGGTGGCCAGTGACGCCTGGAGAGTCAGCAGCACCCCCAGGGACAGCCAGTGACACCCCGACCGATGGCCACAATGACAGCAAAGAAGCTGGGATGTTCACAGGACACAGCCACCCCTGCGGTCCTGACCAGCACTCCATCTCTGTCCAGTCTGGAGACCTAAGACCAGCAGGCACCCCACCCTGAGGAGGGTGGCACAGCATGGCACTCGACAGAGCCCACTCCACTGTACCCTCAGTGACCCGAATCGAGTAAGCAATTAGTGCCGTGGACTCTCTGCAGAACACCACCTCGTCCCAGGTGCTGCATTGCCAGACCCGTCCTGATGCCTCGCTGGGACAGTAGCAATGAGACCTCCCTTTCAAGTTCCCCCCTGGTGCTCCCTCCATTCTGGCACCTCCTCTCCACCGAGGCTTCCAGAGAAACTCCTCTTGCCTCGCAGCAGGCACTCACTCTGGCCCCTTGATCCTCAAAGGGCCCTGGCCCAGCAACTGCACACGGAGACACTGGCAGTGATGGTGAGGAGAGTGGGCTAGAGGCCCTACCCCAGGCCCACAGAATCGGAGCTGTGTTTCAGGAAAAAGCACCTTCACGGTTTGCCTCTCCCCACACGATGAGCAGTGAACCTTGGCCCACAAACCCAGACCCCAGAATCCGTTTCATGTCTCACCAAGGTGTGGTCTCCCAGACTGTGCCTGAGCCCCGGCTCCTGTGCTCAGCAGAGCGTGGGGAAAGGGGATGGTGTGTGTGCAAGTGTCAGGGATGGGGAAGAGTCGGATGGTGGGGAAGGGAGAGAACATAGTGGAGGGAGAAGGTGTTGATACCGGGTGTGGGGGGCATGTAGGGTGGTGCTGGGGGCTCAGTGCCATCCCCGGGCTAGCCATGCATGCAACAGGCTCCCCACTTGGGGGCCTGTCCCTGGTGGTGCCAGCTTTGGGCAGATCTCCTGGGGTACCTGGCCTTGGGGTGCCCTCGCAAGTCCCAGGTCACAGGCAGACTTCTGTGAATCCATTATCTACAATACCCTAGGGCGCTGGAGCTTAATTAGGGCTTAATCCAGGTCCAGAGCTGAGAAAGCTGCCACTCAAGTCATTGGATACATTTCCCTGCAGTTCCGGGAGGGGTCTGGCGAGTCTGGGGGCTGGCAGAAGGGGATGGCATTTTCACTAATTAAATTAATTGATTACCCAGCGTGCTAGGCACCAGGCTAGCAGAGGCTGCTGGGGAAAGAGGTGGCAGAACCAGGCAGGGGTGGGCTGGTGGGGGTGGGCACTCCCCCAAGTATACACTAGGACCTCCCCTGACCTCACAGGAGAGAGGAGGGATGGGGCCTGGCAGGTGAATGGAACGTTCCCCATATGCCAAGACAGGCCAACACCACCCTCCCATCCCCAGGAGGCAGAGATTTGAATTCCTGGCTGCCACATTAGGGAACTTGGTGAGGTTAAGTAGCCTGCTCAGGTCACACAGCAGGTTCCCATTGAAACCCAACCCTGAAGGTCCCTGCTGTTCTCACTGCCACGCAAAGAGGGGCTGATGACAGTGGGCTCCTCACCCTCTTCCTTGTCCTAACCCTGCTGCTGGAGAGAGGGGGAGACCCCTGTCCTGGCAGGGGTGGGCATTGCAGGGCAGGCTGAGGGTGGCTAACCTACTGCCCTTGGGCCTCTGAAGGGTGCTGGGGAAAATGGGGGCTGCTGAGTGTCTCCATTAGCCAACTGAAAGGAAGGGGCTTACATTAGAGCAAGAGAGACAGGTGACCCACGAAGATCCTACCCTGATCCTCAGGAGGGTGGAGTGCTGGGAGTGAGGCTGGGACCAGCGGTGACAGACTGTGCGGCTGGCGGCCTGGCCTCGGGCCTTGGCTGTGCCTCCTCCCAGCCGCCTCTTTCTGGCATGGTGTGTGGTCCTGAGTCACCGACAGCACTGACTCGCTTTCCTTTCCCCCCACGTCCTCTACTGCGTGCCAGGCTATGGGTCCCACATCCCTGAACGGTCTTGCCCACTCCCACCCCCGAGCCAAGGCCATGTCCTCTGGCCCAACTAAGTCTCCTAACCTGGAACCCCAATTCCTTCCCCCGGTCCAAGAGGAGCCCTCCTCCCAATCCCAGGGCTTTCCAGGTGGACTCTGTGCGGGGGCTTAGCAAGCTGGGGGCTTTCTCTGCTCAGGTCAGATCATGAGGGAGCCCAACCAACCCACCCCAGCCTTGAGTGCCACCCGAAGGTCTGGCCTGTGGGATCTGAGATCCAGGCAGCCCCCGTCCTGCCAGAGCAGCACCGGGGAAGAACTCATCATTCTTTTACGCTAGGCACTGACCTATCTGCAGCTTCTAGAAGGAGACAGCAGAGTCCCGAGTTAGCTCAGTGACTTGAGGCCAGGAAGCCAGGGGTGGGGCTAACCAAAGCATGCCAGGCCAGGGTGGGAGCTACAGGTGGAGGAAAGCGATTCTTCCTCCGTTAACTTTGTTTCACTCCAGATACCTGGCAGTGGGCAAAGCAGAGCCTGAGCTTCAAAGCCCAGGGTTCCAGGCTCTGACTCACTCTGGCCACATGACGTTGTGTTACTCATTCCCCTTTTCTGGTCCCCAGTCTCCTCATCTGTAATGTGAACGGGTTGCACTAGATTAGAGTTTCTGGCTTTTGCCCCATCAGAAGGCTCCCTGGGAGCACTCATTAAAGACACGGATTCCCAGGTCCTCCCTGGACAGTGTGTTTTTTAGGTGTTGGGTGTGGCCCCGGAGCCTGTATTTGGACAAGTGCTCTGGGCGATTTTTTTCTTTTTTTTGTTGGAGTCTTGCTCTGTTGCCTAGGCTGGAGTGCAGTGGCATGATCTTGGCTCACTACAACCTCCGCCTCCCAGGTTCAAGCGATTCTCCTGCCTCAGCCTCTTGAATAACTGGGATTATAGGCGCCCACTACCACACCCGGCTAATTTTGTATTTTTAGTAGAGACGGGGTTTCACCATATTGGCCAGGCTGGTCTCCAACTCCTGACCTCAAGTGATCAGCCTCTGGGCAATTCATATAACCAGGCAGGTCTGGGAACCTCAAGATGGGAGGGAGAGTCTCCAAGGTCCTTTCCAGCTCTGATCTTTAGGTGATGGGTTCTTGCGACTGCCTAGGTTGGTGGGTCTCTTCCACACTCAGAAATCCAGGTCCTTACACAGCCTGGGGTGTCCTTCCTTCTGCCCTTTGACCCCTGCCTTCCTCAGCACCCAGGGAGAAAGCGTCAGGTGGGAAAGGAGAGGGAGTGGGAGAGACTGAGGGCAGCAGCAGCTCCAGGATAGACATATTTGTGTCTCTGCCAAATGTCACCCTTCAAAGATTATTCATTGCTGCACCATTTGTAATAACCGAAGACTAGGAATAAAGACTGGTTAGAATAAATTAGGGTATATTTTGTGATATTATGCAAATGCAGAAAGAATGAAGATGCTCTTTATGTACTGATGTGGAACCATCTCCAAGACAGATGATTATATGAAGAAAGCAAGGCGTAGACTAATATGCAACATTCAGGTAAAACAAAAAAGAATACCTATATATAATTACCCGTATATGCAGAGAATGTCTCTGGAAGAACATTAGTGAAATTGGCAAAACGGTCGCCTCTGGCAGGGAATCCAGTGGCTGGGGACGGGGTGGGAGGGGACACTGTATTCCCATTTGTACCTTCTGAATTCTGTGTAAGCAACTTCTACTCAAAAACATTTAACATTTTAAAAGGGTTTCCAAGGGCTTTTTTGACCTGCACTGCTACCTACACCCTGTCCCTGGTTCCCATACAGCCCCCTGGGGTTCCAGCATCTCTCAGGCTCGAGTGGTGGGAAAGGGTGGGACTCCTGTGACCGAGTCTGGTCTCCCTTTCCACCCCCAGGACAGTCCCATGCCCAGTGCAAGCGGCTGCCCAATGAGCATGAGGAGAAGGAAGGAAGGAAGGAATAAGGACCCATCTCATCGCCATCAGAGCCTGCCCAGTGCCCCACCAGCCCAGCTCGCTCTCAATGGCTCATGGGCCATTTCTAAGCTAACGGCTCCAGCTCCCCAGTCGGCTTTGCTACGGCAGGGCCTTGACATTAGCCTCTGGCTCCGTGACTCCAAGTAGCAGGCACAAAACTGTGGAGACCCTGGACCCCCCTCCATAAGGGCAGCCTCGCTTGGCTCAGCCTCACCTCCTCATTGAGGATCTTCTGGCACTCAGATTAATTCACACAGGCAGCCCAGCTGCCGTTGGCCAGGCATTCCCAGTAGCCATTGTCTGGAAAAGGAAGAGAGAGGCAGTGATGGTGGAGCAGCCCGGGCCCCTGTCTGACCATCCTGGCCCAGATGGATGAATAGGGGGATCTGTAGATGGCCAGCCGTCTCTGCATCCATCTAGGCCAGCACAGGCACCTGCTGGGTGGGGGCTGTCTCTCAAAAGCATTCCTGCCACACTTAATTCCCCATTCCCTGAACCAAATGTGCCATCTTAATTGTCCAGGTCTTTACAGTGCTGGTTTCCCTGCCCATTCCCCATCCCTTCATATCCCCCTTCCCTCCCGACTCTCACACAACTGTAATATTAGTATAAAACAAGCAGTATTGTTTTTCTTTTCCTGTGACTAAAATTCTTTCTAAGATTTCAGAATGTATTTATTACTGAAACAATGCTGACACTGCACAAAAAAGGAAGAACCAGACATTCATTAAAGCTGGGAAAAAGCAGAACTCAGTGGACTCAAGAACAGCTAGCAGGCTGGGCACGGTGGCTCACACCTGTAATCCCAGCACTTTGGGAGACTAAGGCAGGTGGATCACCTGAGGTCAGGAGTTCAAGACCAGACTGGCCAACATGGTGACACCCCGTCTCTACTAAAAATACAAAAATTAGCTGGGCATGGTGTTAGATGCCTGTAATCCCAGCTACTCTGGAGGCTGAGGCTGGAGAATCACTTGAACCTGAGAGCTGGAGGCTGCAGTGAGCCAAGGTTGTGCCACTGCACTCTGGCCTGGGTGACAGAGCAAAACCCTGTCTCGAAAACAAACAAACAAACAAATAAATAAATAAAAACAAATAAAAGGAAGGGCCAACTGAAACCTCAGAAGGTGGAGGCACTGAGTGGGGAGTGGTTGGCTGGGTCCAGGCCAGGTGGGGTCCTGCTCCTGATGTGGATGGGTCTGGGAGACCAAATATGCAAATGGACAATGGCCAGACCACACATTAAAGTAGAACTCTGCCTCAAAACCTGAAGCAACAGCTCAGAAAGTCAAGGAACAACCCTGCAGCAATCAGCCCCGAATGGCAGGAGTGGATGGTAACTGACAGCTTCCCTAATTTTGTCCCCATTTCCAATGCAGGACAAACCGGAGAAAGCCAAATATGCTCTGCTAACCAATTACTTAGGATGCCCCTCTTCTAATTAGCCCACCTGTAGCCTTCCTGCACCAACAGCGCACACCTGGGTGTACCTGAAGCCTTCCACTTTTTCCACTACAAAGCCTTCCCCCTCTGCCTGCCTTTGAGTCTCCATGAAAAGCAAGTGATGGTGGCTGACTTCCTTACTGTAGCAAGCTCTGAATAAATAACCATTGCTTGCTCTCATTTGGGAGGTCTTTGTTTATGTCCACAAGCCCAAGGTCTCTCTATCCCTTCCTGCTCCCAGGTCAAAGACGTCTTTGTCCCTCCCCTTTGACTCCCCCAGGGATGAGGGGAGAGAGGAGGATGGGAATAATGAAGAGCATGGCTTTGGAACAGGACAGATCTGGGCTGAGATTCTGGCTCTTGATGCTTAACTAGCTGCGTGATCTTGAGTAAGTCAATTAAACGATCAGTGCCACTGTTTCCTCATGTCAAGGGGACAGTCCAGCAGAAACGCAAAGGCTACTGTGAGAACTCAGGAAGGTAATATATTTAATGTACTGGGCATGTAATAGGTGCTTAATAAAGGAAAGGTCAGCCATCACATCAGCCTCCTCACAACTTGCTGGAGTGAACAGGCCCCCATTCCGCATCCTCATTCACCCCACCCCATTTCTTTCTGTCAGGCCATCTGATTTCAGCTGGATGCAATCAAGATACGGACTCCAAGTCCAGGGTATAGCAAAAGCCTAGGCTTGGTTTCAAGCCAAGGATGGGCAAAGGGTATAACTGAGCATTTCTTGACAGAAATCCAATTGGGCCAAAGCAGAGGACAGAATGTTCAGGCCAGACACCTGCTGACTCCCTGTTCTGTCCTGGCTCTGAGGGGTGATCGGGGCAGGGAGACTCCTGACCAGAAAACTGCCTACCTTTGTGCCAGGCCAGCTTTCCCAGGACTGCGGAGCATGAACCAGGCTGTTTCCCAATCCGGGGAGTGTGTGTATATAGGCATCGATGTGTGTGCCTCCGTTTCTTCATCTTTAAAATGATCATTTTGCCGGGCACGGTGGCTCATGCCTCTAATCCCACACTTTGGGAGGCTGAGACCAGAAGTTTGAGACCATCCTGGGCAACATAGTGAGACCCTGTCTCAACAAAAAATAAAATAAAAAAATATGGTGGCACATGCCTGTGGTCTCAGCTACTCAGAAAGTTGAGGTTGGAGGATCACTTGAGCCAGGTGATCAGGCTGTAGTGAGATGTAATCGCACCACTGCACTCCAGCCTGGGCAACAGAGTGAGACCCTGTCTCAAAATAAAATAAAATAAAATAAAAAGAATTGTAATAGCTTACCAGGATATACAAACACGCTTAATGTTCTAATAATGAGTATCAGGATGGGTATGGGTGTCTTAGTCTGCTTTGTGCTGCTATAACAAGATACTTGTTATAAAGAGGGCAATTTATAAATAGGAGAAATTAATTTCTCACAGTCTGGGGACTCGGCAGTCCAAGATCAAGTGGCCAGCATCGGGTGAGGGTTTTCTTTCTGCATTGTAACATGGCAGAAGACATCACATGCCAGAAAGGCAAGAGAGAGAGAAAGAGAAAAAGGGGCAGAACTCAACCTTTTATAAGGAATCCACTCCTGAGATAATGACACTAATCTATTCATGAGGGTGGTGTCCCCCTTCCCCTCCCCCCGCCACCCATCCCAAACAATGGCAGCATCACGCCCCAACCTCCCAACACCTCCACATTGGGGATCCAGTTTCCAACACATGAACTTCAGGAGACTATTCAAATCACAACAGGGGACAGGGGCACTGAAATGCCTTTGTGTTGGGCATCCTGAATCCCTTCACTCCAATTTGCCAAGCCCTTTCCATCCCCTTGTCTCCCACTTCACTGCCACCACCAGCATTCAAGTCTCCAGTCAGCATCTTTTGCCTGCATTATTGCAATAACAAAGTACCTTCCTTACTCTCCTGCCACAATCAAAGCATGCAAATTAACACACACATGCAGGGGTGGTGAGAAACAATTCCTGCCCCCACTCCCCACTCAGGCAAAGTCTTAAAATAATAATAACGATGTTGTGGGGAGCCCTCTTCTCACAGGGCATGATTGTTCACTGGTACATTTCTGGAGAGCAATTTAGTAGGAAATACTTTTTGATTCTAGAGGTCCATTTTTCAAAATATAATTTAAATAAAAATCACAGTTTCAGCACAAATACTTTGTTACAAGGCTCTTTATGGTAATATTGTTTCTGATGAAAAAGGAAGGAAGGAAGGAAGAGAAGGAAGGAAGGAGGGAAAGAAGAAAGGAAAGGGAGAAGAAAAAAGAGAAAGAGGAAGAAGGAAAGAAAAACTTAGATATACAAGGAAAAACTTGGTGAAATAAATTGCAGTGGTCCGTACCTTAAAATGCCGTTCCTTCACTACAAACGATGTAGATCAGTAGTTTGTACATCACGTGGGAGCTGTTGAGGGCGGGAGGTGGAAGCAATCTGGGTTTAATAAACCCTCCAATTTTTCAGAGCTGTAGTTGTAGCTGACCATCGCTATGGAAAGTTACACTGTTAAGTGACGAAAGGTTAACGAGGCAGTAAGCAGGAATAGTATATCCCCATTTCTGTTATCCGGAGAGAGGCACAAATAGAAAAAGGCTGGGAGGAGTTTATACCCAGGTGATAACACCGACATCGACACTCTCTACGAAGCAGGATTATAAGGTTTTAGAACTTTTTCATTTTGGTAATTCATGTTTTCTAAACAGTCTACAATGACTACGTTTGTGTAAAAAGGAAAGGAAAAAAAAAAACCCAGTAATTTGTTTTTTAATTAAAGAAAAGTAAATGGGACCTAGTTGAGGGGAGGGAGTAGGGAAGGAGGCAGAGAGCCCGCCTCATCGCGACAGCTTTCACCACGGGAAAGGTGGGAGGCGGGACCGGCCGGGAGACCCGGGGCCGGTGGGGTGGGCAGCGCCAGGGGTCCCGGCGACTCCTCTGAGGTCTAGCAAGGTTTACAAGGGCTTAAATAACGAGAGACGAGAGTCAGGGCAGACTTCCGGAATAACTTCACTGCTAAGGGTTTCAAATCCTGGAATGGGCACCTTGGGGAGGTTTCCTAGCCCGTAATGGACACCGGGTGCCCGAAGCGGGTGGAGTTCCACCGGCCCTAGGACAGAGGCTGCCCGATCTCCCGACCTCCTCCAGCCCAGGACTCCGGGGAGGCTGCGCTCGCGGCGGGATTCCCGCCCTCGGGAGACGCCGCGGGGACCGGCGGGGCGGGGCCGGGCCGTTGCTAGGGGAGGGGCGGCCGAGCGCGTTAGGAACCCGGCGGGCGACCGCGATGCGCACTCGGTTCTCCGGCTCCAGCTCCCGCGCCGCCTGTTGCTCGCTCCTCCTGGCGGCCGCTTCCCGCCCGGTGCCCAGGGGTAGGCTGCCCGAGAGGTGCCATCGCGCGGGCAGCCTCCCGCCTTCGTTCCCTCCCTGTACTGCAGGAGCGGGTCGGAGGCGCCCGGAGCTTCCCCGAGAGCGCGGAAGCCGGCAAGCAGCCCAGTGCGCACGGGACTGCGCGCCGAGACTCCGGGCGCCGCGCGGCGATGAACGCGACCTTTCTGAACCACAGCGGCTTGGAGGAGGTGGGCGGCGTGGGCGGCGGCGCCGGGGCCGCCCTGGGGAACCGCAGCCACGGGCTGGGCACGTGGCTGGGCTGCTGCCCCGGGGGCGCACCGCTGGCCACCAGCGACGGGGTCCCAGCGGGGCTAGCGCCGGACGAGCGCAGTCTGTGGGTGTCGCGCGTGGCGCAGATCGCCGTGCTCTGCGTGCTGTCGCTTACCGTGGTCTTCGGCGTCTTCTTCCTGGGCTGCAACCTGCTCATCAAGTCCGAGAGCATGATCAACTTTCTGGTGCAGGAGCGCCGGCCCTCCAAGGACGTGGGCGCCGCCATCCTGGGACTGTACTGAGCGCCATCTGGGCCCGCCCTCGCCAGCGCGGCTGCAAGAAGGACGCGGGAGACCTGGACCCTCGCCCCGCTCTCTGCCGCTGCCTCCCGGCGGGCAGCGACGTGCCTGGGGCGTGCTGGCAGGGACGCGGCGAGACTCTCGGCTGGGGCACTGGAAGGGACTTGGACGCCGGCTTGGTCCTCTGTACGCTGCACCGTTGCGGGGTGGGAGAGTAGAGGGCGAGGGTTCTTACCAGGGTTTTTTTGTTGTTTTTAAGACATTCGGGCCAGGGTGGGGGTGGGTACAGGGATGCCATTTGGGGCTGCGGTCGCTCGCGTGGGAGTTTTGTGTGTACATTGGTGCGGGTGGGTTCGGAGCAGGGTGTAGGGAGAGTGGGTGAGGATGTTAAGCGTCAGAGTCGCTGAGCTTCTTGGCCTGATTTTGCGTTTGGAAAGAAATCTTGTAATAAAACTGCAGCTGTAGGGCTTCGGGCAGCTTCCCACCCGGGCCTGTGGGGTGTGTGTGTCGGGGGAGTGGAGGGCCTGTACCCTTCTGGCGGACACTTTGAGCACCTTGGGAGACATCCAGCCCCTTCGTGGACGCCTGGCTGGGGAGCCGACTGCAGGTCAGGGATCCTGGGGCTCCACGCAGAGGCCAGAGAGAGGAAAGGGAAAGGGAATCGTTTTCTAAGGCCAATGGCAGAGAAGGCAGGTCCTCTGGGACAGCCAGACAGCTGGTGAGGTTAATTAAATCACTGGATATTTGAACCTTCTATGAGATGAAACAAAATCAGTGAGCTGAGTCCAAAATGGAGAAAACAGGAAAATTAATAGATCAGGGAACAAGGAATTCGATTTGGCAGAGGGGGAAAAACAGCTCTAGTTAAAATTCTCATTGTAAAGCCAAAAGCCCCTTCTAAGAGCTTGCTTTGTCTCTACCCTTATAGCAGGCAGGATGAGTAGGCTGGGAAGAAACCCCCTCGTTGCATCCAGTGGTGGTGGTGGGAGGCGGGGGTGGCAGCTTTGTGGTGATGAAGTCCCAGGATGTTTATTATAAAATGGAGAAAATGGCCTCCAAGCGCAGTAGCCTGCAGGGGACTTGGATCCTCCCATTACAGGATGCCCCAGCTGCCCAGGAACCGGCGTCTCCTGCAGGTGCTAACTTCCTGCAGCAGTGTGGGGCAGCAAGAACTGGATACTCCCTGACGGACAGGCAGAAGGCGGCTCTGCTTTCTGGAAGTGGGGCCAGGGAGACCTCGGGACACTGAAAAAGAAAAGACTGGGCTTTCTGGCCTATATATCACTACCCCAACCTTAGCCCTGGTGCCAACCCCACTCAAATGGTTCTTGGAAGACTTGGTCGGGGATAGGCTCTGGATGTCTCTCTCTCTTCTCTCTTTTGCTGTGGGTGGAAGTGAAGAAGAACAAGGAGGAAGGTGGCTGAAGTCTTAGTTGGTTTTAGCTAAGAGAAGCAAAGGAAATGCCATCTCGTGTCTGTGGCACTATTTTCATTAGGGAGAGGCTTGGCACGGGCTGGGGGTGGTATCTCAAAAGGCACAGATGGTCCCTGGCTATGAAGGATCCAGAGTCGTCCTGGCTCCCAAGTGCTCCTGTGCAGTCAGAATCATCATGACCAGGATGTGCCCCATCTCCCCACCCTGGTTGTCCCAGTCTCAGACCTGAGAGAAGTCAGGCCAGGCCAGGCCAGTGAGGCCAGGAACTGAGACTCTTTGTAAAGTGTCTCTAGGGGCAAAACCCCACATGTGGAAACTGTTCTGTTGATGGTTTGGTGTGACTCGCAGGAAGTCCAGCCTGATCTGGGGACAGCAGCCTTCAGTCACTCAGGCAACCTGGATAAGTGGCTTCATCATGTAGGTGGTACAGTCATCTGGAGGCTGAGCTGCCCCCAGTGGCTTGGGGAATGCAGCTGACAGCTACAGGCATTCTCATAAAATGAGAATGACTAGAGAATGGTTTCAGAAAGAACACAGGCTTACACACTTTTCCACCTGGCCAAGTTATTGCAAACACTACGAGAACTCTCCGCCAATAAAATGGGTCTGCTACTGAATGTGATTGGGACAAGAACAGAAAGAGTCAAGAGTCAAATTTATATTTTCTTTTTTCTTTCTTTTTTTTTTTGAGATGGAGTCTTGCTCTGTTGCCCAGGCTGGAGTGCAGTGGTGTAATCTAGGCTCACTGTAACCTCTGCCTCCCTGGTTCAAGTGATTCTCCTGCCTCTGCCTCCTGAGTAGCTGGGATTACAGGTTCCTGCCACTACACCCAGCTAATTTTTTAAAAATTATTTTTAGTAGAGACTAGGTTTTGCCATCTTGGCCAGGCTGGTCTTGAACTCCTGAGCTCAGGTGATCTACTTGTCTCGGCCTCCCAAATTGCTGGGATTACAGGCGTGAGCCACCGTGCCCAGCCAAATTTCTTTTTTAAAAACATATGATTTTTCTTTCTTTCTTTTGTAGCTCCTTGTCAAAGGAAAGTTAACTGTTTTGAATTTGCTGAAAAGGAAAGCCTTAGTGAGCAAGCTTTGCAGGATTTTCCCTCTATTTTAAAAACAGACAGTGGCTGGGTGTGGTGGCACACACCTGTGATCCCAGCACTTTGGGAGGCTGAGGCAGGAGGATCGCCTGAGGCCAGGAGTTCAAGACCAGCCTGGCCAGCATGGTGAAACCCCATCTCTACTAAAAAAAAAAAAAAAAAAAAAGTTAACCAGGCGTGGTGGCAGGCACCTGTAATTGCAGCTACTTGGGAAGCTAAGACAGGAGAATAGCAGGAGAATTGCTTGAACGGGGGTGGTGAGGGTTGCTGTGAGCCAAGATTGCGCCATTGCACTCCAGCCTGGGCAACAGAGTGAGACTCCGTCTCGGAAAAAAAAAAGAGATAGTGAAGACACGTGTGTTTGGGTCCCCTGTGGTGTACAAGTGTGCACACGTGGGCACATGGCATGAGTGTATGCTCACACATAAGGCACACACACAGACACAGAAGGAAAACAGCCAGCAGGAGTGGGGTCTTGAGAAGGGGTGAGGGCAAGAGGTCGCATTTGTAGACCATCCTAGTTCTTCCCGGGAGTCCTGAGGCTTGCAGGGTATTCACTGGGCTGCCTTATATAAACCTTAGGGCCAGGGTGGGAACGCTGAGCTACATAAGGTAAGAGTTAATGAGGAACAGTGCTCCAGCACAGAGCCAGTCAGATCAGAATCCTGAGCCATCAGGGTGGAGGATAAAGAAGGGGCCTGGTTCTAGACAGCCCCACTCACCTGTAACTGCTGTCCATTGACCCAGCTCTTCCCAGGATGCACCGGTAAATCTCAGAGGATCTTGGGTTCCCAAGAAAGAAGGCCTGGGATCCTTCAATATCCTGGCTGCACTGCTTCCTAGCTCTGTAACTGTGGGGAATTAGCTTAAGTTCTCTGTGCCTCAGTTTCCTCACCTACAAAATAGGAGCAATGGGGCACCCACAGCTTTCACAACGTGATGTGTTTAAAGAAGCCGGCACAATGCCTGGTGTTTAGTAGACACTCAATAAGGACAATGAGGATTATTGTTAGTTTTATTTATCATATGAACTCTTTCCCTAAAGTACGTTTGGTTCTCAGAAATAGATTTCCAAACATTTGCAATTTTCAAAGCACTTTCATAAACATGATGAAAATAGTAGCTAATGCCTAATATGCCAAGCACTGAGCTTCCCCCACCCCATGAAGAAGGTTTGGTCACTGCTTCCATTGTACAGATGAGGAAACTGAGGCTCCAGAGGTTGCCTGAGGTCACACAGCTAGAAAAGGGTGGAGCTGGGATTCAAACCAGTTTCACTCGAGGTGACCTCCTTTGCTCCCCACAACACATTGGTAAGAGGAGCAGATGTTCCTCTAATTTCCTGTTTACAGGAGAGGAAATTAAGTTTCTGTTTACTGATCTTGTCCAAACTCATTCATTCCACCAGTGTCTATTGTGGCTCTCCTGGGGGCTAGCCACTGTGCCAGGTACTGAGGGAGCAAGGGATGGCAGACCTGGAGTCTGCCCTGATCTGCAGCCCCTGAAACCAGGGCACTTGCTTCGCTCCCCAGGTAGCTAGTTCCATGTGTCTCTGGGCCTAGGTCAAACCCTTCACATCCTGTCCTCTGAGTTGGGGATGGTACTTCTGGGGTCAGCTGTGTCCTCACTAGCAACATGTCCCCTAGAACGGGGACAGTAGGGAGGGCTTATGTCACCACATCCACTTACTTTCCCACTTGCTTGTCTAAGCCAAGTTCACACAGTGTGCGGCTGTGGTTGCTGGGGGTCATCCTCCCCAGACCCCAGCTCAGTAGTAGATAGAAGCCTTAAGCATTGTGGGTGGCTTCAGAGGGAAAGAACAGAGTGTGAAGGGTGGTGGGTACAGCAGAAATGGCTCGCATCCAGCATTCCAGTTTTGGGGGAAACGCATACGTGTACACATGTGTGTTGCACGCATGCACACACATTTAAATAAAAAAGACTTAAGTGGGATTCCTGAGCAGCACCCCTTGAGTGCAGATTCAAAGGATGCGATTTGGAAATCCCGCTTAAGTCCTTTTTATTAGACACTTTCTCACCTGGCCAAGTTAGAGCGGACATTATGAGAAGTTATACATACCTAATAACCTTGATGTACGAGACCTGGGTTTGCATGTCAGTGCCAGTATTTATTAGGTGTGTCCTCTGTCACTCTCCTAGCGCTGGGTTTTAAGGAGATTGCAGAGATGAAGGCAACTCAGGCTCTGCCCTCGAGATGCTAATAACATGACTGCAGAGACGACCATCCACAGAGGAGATTAAGTGCTGCCATTCTCTGTGCCTCCATTATTTCTTTTTGGGTAGCCAACACCAGTCAGTGGGGTACGGGGTCTGGGGCTGCAGACCAGCTGTAATCCTGGATTTCTCCTGTGGCCCACTTTGCAGGAGTGTCTGGGCAGAAAGCCCAGGACATGGAACCTGCATGTTGACGGTGATGCAGCCAGATGGGCAGAGGCCAACATCCGTCACCAATGGTCACATTGCACAGACTGCTGGTTCCCTGCTGAGCCGGGCCAGACTGTGGGAAGCTGCCAGACCTGGATTCCACCTTGTGCTCCAAAGCTGGGGTTCAGCAAGGGTTTGGGGGGCCCAGTGTGCAACCCTAACCCTTTTGTGGGGATCCTTTCCTGTTCCAGATCCTCCTTCCATCTTGGCCAAGAGCCAGAGCTCCTTACAGGGACTTCTTCCCATTATAGCTGGACTGGAAAGGAAGGAGGAAGGGAGAGGAGGAGGAGGAGAAGGAGGGGGAAAGAAGAATATGAAAGGAGAGCAGGGAGAAGATGGGAGGGATGGAGAAGGCAAGAGAGGAGGAAGAAGGGGGTGGCAGGAGAAGCAAAGCAGGAAGCCAGGGTCTTGTCTCCTGCCCCAGCCCAGCCCCAGGGTTCTATCAACACACAGCCTGGTCCCAACACAGTAGGCTGTCCCCTTTGGGTATCTGTATAGGAAAATA